ACAAAAAGGAGACTTTTAGTTTTTTAGTAAAAAAAAACAAAAAAAAACAAAAAAACAAAAAAAAAAAAAAAACAGAAAAAGCGCTTTCTTTCTTTCACAAGGAGGGTGAACCAGAGTGGGGTCAGTGGTGGGGGTCATACAGTTGAAGGTGGGAGTCTGGGGGCCTAGCTGAGAAGCTGACGGATCTCCTTGTGCATGTGACACAAGAAGTCCACGTATGATGCTCCCCCGCTGGCGCTCTTGTCCTCAACCAAGAAATGCCTGAATAACAGCTCGGCTCTGTCTTCCTGTTTCACCACTATCAGCTGCAAATATGAGGAGAGAGGAGTGTGACAAAGAGAGTGTGCATGAGTGGGGGTGCATCTCAAACCTTAATACAGTGGAACCTTGGATTGCAAGTATAATTCGTTCCGGCAACGTGCTCGTAATCCAAAGCACTGGTTTATCAAAGCGAATTTCCCCATATGAAATAATGAAAACTCAGATTCATTCCACACCTACTTATCCATATAAAAATGATTACAATAATACAAAATACAGTATAACGCAAAAATAAAACAAATTAACCTGCACTTTACCTTTGAAAAGAATCGTGGCTGGCATGAAGGCCCATTGTTGCAGTACAGATATCGACTATAAGAGTGAAGCCCTCAGTTGTGACGTACGTCACGTGACGATCGGCAGACAAAGCATACGTACTACTCGTAATGCGAGACCTCGATCGTATATCGAATCAAAATTTTTTTGCTTGTTTTGCAAAACACTCGCAATCCAAGGTTCCACTGTATTTTTACTGGTAGCTATCAAAATGTCTCAGCAGAATTGAATGTCAAACATTGGCAAGTTGGGTTGCAGCTAATGATCATTTTCAAACAAAAGCAAAGAGAAAATCACCGAGATTGAGTTGAGATTTACTTAGTAAAATGACCAAACCTTTTGCCTGTAAAATGTCCAAAAAAAAAAGTTTACCACAACAAACCATTTTAAAAGGTACCCAGACATTGACAGGACAGAGAAATGACAAAAGACGGAGGAAATATGGAAAAGCTTACCTTCATGTATCGTGATCGCTGTGCTCTGAATGAGTCAATGATCTCTCTCAGTCTCTGAGAGAACGGGTTGTCCAGTACTGGCAAACTTGTCTGAAACAAAGAGCGGTGATGATCAGAAATAATATACAACAATAAAACCATGAAATTTAGCCAAAACAGAACAAACATAATATAAAACCATAGTACATGCTGAGTAGCATGCCCAATCTTGGAAAGAGATTACTGGTTATCAACTGTATATGGAAACATGAGTTTGTCCTGCAGCCACTGCAAACCATGTAAAAAACTAGAAACAAAAAAAACAAAACAAAACACTGAACTTGTATTTCTCATTAATTACTAAATTCTACCCTCATGTGTCTGACAAATAATAAAACTGCTTCACATTCTAACTGCACAGTATGTAGAATTCATAATTTTGTTCTGGAAAACCCACTAAAGACTTCTCAATGATTAATTTAAAAAAATATTTATTTTAAAACCTGGGTCTGTCAGTCAAGCCAACACACAAAATGGATTCACATCTCTCTCCTCTCACCATGGTTGGGTCGATCTGGTTGAAGCTCTGCGAGCCAAAGATGTTGAGCAGTAGCTCCCGCTGTACGCTGGCTTTTTTCCACAGGAAGAGGTGGAGCCCCGTTTCCAGGAGGTAAACTCCGCCTTTTGACAGCCTCTCCTCCGAGTCCCTCACCGCCACCGGCAACGACCCGCTTTCCAGCTTCATCTGGAGAGTTGAGATATCAGATTAAGGTGTTAGCAGTATTAGTTTTGTCATCTACTGATCTTCAGACATATCCCTCCCCTGTAATAATGAATATGGTCCGGACAGGTCATCGTGGAGTGACGCAAATAGTTTCTTTTATTCTATTTGTACTCCGATATCATTGGTATGTGCTGTGTGTGACAGGGCAAATAAAATAAATCCACAGTACATTTGACATGTGAGCAGTTAGACACACCCGCAGTGGTCAGCTCATGTAAAGACACAACATGAATGGCTTCATGTACCAAACACTGTCTTATTGTAGCTCAAAAAACACAAGTCCAAACAGAAAAACGTGAAAAAATAGTTTCTGTAGAGATTAATAAAAAAAAAAAGTTCAGGTGCAAACTAAAAACAAAGAAATAAGTTTTACAATATTGTTTTCTTTTTATAACAGTAAGAAATTTGTAGTGTGCAAGACATCACTGTGCACGTGGGTCCAGCTGGACTGTGAAGACATAAATCCAAGCTCAGTGTAACTTTTTACAGGCTCTAACAGTTGGACATACATAGCCAGTCTGCTTCCTTTTTACACACATACAGTACTTTACACTTATTTCTATGACGGTACATAGTGAATATGAGTCTAGCATTTTGAGCCCTTCAATCATCCTGCACATACTGATTTTCACACAAGTGATGTTATTTAAAGTGTGTCTGGATTCAGAGCTCAGAAAGAACATTGAGACTGGGTTGTATAGTACAGAAAAAAGACTCTGTTCACACATTTACATCCCTAAAATTTGAGGTTTAAGCAACTTTCTCTTGTCAGCCAAGACAAGAGAAGATCTTTTGTTTTGTGCGTGATCTCACCAGAGGCAGCAGGCGGGGGTAGAAGAAGACATGGCTCTCTGTGACATCCATGCAGCTGATCAGCTGTCTCAGGTAAGCGCGGTCATCCAGCGAGACATCAGCTCCCGGCAGCAGCATGTCACTCTTCAGCACGCAGTTCAAATAGACAGGTAACAGCTTCATGCATTCTGGGAGGATCAACTGGACAACACACACAGGAACATGAGTTAAGGATGTAAATACCTGAACAGACACAAGACAATGACCATGGGTAAATATGACAAGCTTTTAAAACCTTGTCTGCTGTAAGAAGAGTGTAAATATAAGATAATGTTAATATCCATTTTTAAGAGCATGCTGAGGTGGCTACCCCAAATGATAAGTGTCTTATTTTGTCTGACCAAGTCTAAAATCCAAAAGATACTCAGATCAAAGCATCACATTTGAAAAATATGTCACAAAAATATGGCTACAACAATTACCCGATTATCAAAACAGCTACCAGTAAAAGATCACTTAACATGTTACTGATGCTCTACACATGTGATCAGCTAGCAGGAGTCAGTGGTCCTTATTCAATGTTTTAATATGTTTCCAACTCTTAGAAGTCTGACAATTTGTGACATAAAAAAGGTGCCCCAAAGCAAAACTAAAAAAAAAAAAAACAGGAAACAAAAATCCTGGCTGCATTTTCTTACAATCTCCATCCAGAAAACAAAAGTACAAGAACAGTAATAATTATCATTGCCTGATTTTCTGTTTCATACAATCGTTTTTCCATATTGTGCATAAAATGACGATTCTCTTGAGAGCTATATGTGATCACTGGTTAACACCAGGTAATCATCTAGGTGATGGTGGATGTCTTGTCTGCTGGGGACATGTGTGTTAATGTTTTCAGTACCTGACCAGCCGATGAAGGACTTGCACAGTTCTTCCGGTAGCAGGCCAGAATCTGAGCACACTGGTTGACCAGAGTATCTCTCACCACCTTAGTGGGGTTGTTCAGGACACCACGGAAAGCTGCAACACACAAAAACACACATATACATCAACACTGACAGCCACTGGGAATTATGGGCATTAAATGAATGGCTTATAGTAAAGCAGAGTAGTAGTAAAATAATTTGATAATTTAATTTACAACTTGACTTTGACAGGCTCAAGGATATGCACAGCTCACCACGTTTTACCTTTCTTTATCCTGTGGATGGTGAATGAACAATATCCTGATTCAAACTCAAAAAGCTGCACACGTTCATATAAGCGAGCTATCAAGAACAATCTACTCTACTGTTGGCTAATCTGCAGCTCCACAGGAGCGGCTGGAGGATTGATACAATTTTTAGAAAATGTTACTCATTAATTTCCCTACTCACAGTACAGTCTTACACATATAGCATCATGTATGTTCTCCTTTAGCCTGACAGTGAATAACAATAAAGCAGGTACTCCGCTGTGTGAGCCCATGCTCACCGTATTTAGAGAAGAAGTTGATGATTGTGTCGGTCTCACAGTTGCGGTAGAGGTCAGCCAGCTGAGAACAGCAATTGATGGCCATGTTGTGGATGCGGAGACGCCTTTGGCCACTGCAACTGGTGTATAGCACGGCACACTACAAGGAAATAAATAAGACAATTCACGCAAATAAACTGGCTAGGACTAAATTAACATTACTGCTTTTATTTGATCTTCTATTTTTACAAACAGCACCATCCAAAATTTGTTCATTAAGATTCCAACACTTTCCTCGTAGTATTTTAGTAATTTAAATATTCGCAGTAAATTCTATAAAGTCATTGGACCAATGTGTGTGACACTTGTCTCTCTGCTTTAAAAAAAAGGCCCAACCCTAAATCACTGATCCTCCAGCTCCTGATAAATAATCAACCAGCAGTACTCTGACTAACGATCACTGGTGTTTGGAAGTACTTCATACTAAGACTACGCTAAACTGGTTGCCTGGAAAACTACAATGAAACCGGTTTCCCTTTTTAAAAAGGACTCTCCTCAAAGAATTTTATTAAAAAGATAAATATGTGCACCTGCATGAGTGCCCCCGTCTCCTCATTGAGCTTGTCATCATGTTTAAACTCGACAGTGATGGCCTTGTCACAGTCCAGGCCTGCCAGCTCCACATCTGTGGTGTTACTCATGAAAAAGGAGCCGAAGAAGTCTGTTGCTCGGAAACCTGAGGGAAGGGCAGGGTGTTGACAAAGACAGGAGGTGAGGAATCACCAAGTAAGTTGTCACGTCTCTCAGGCTGTCTTTTTGTTTTTTGGTTTCAAGCAGCGGAGTCTCTAACCTGTGCTGGTTCGCACCCTCATGACAGCATCAAACCCTACCGGTTTCTGAATATCTCGTCTGAGGTCTTTCAGGAATCGCTCCTGATCCGACTGAGCCTGGTAAAAAGATAACGAGAATGAAGTTACAAGTCACATACTATTAAATGATCCAGCTGGCTACGATACATCAGTAAGTCACAAAGCAAGCTGTCTAAATATCATCTATGTGCATAAAAAATCTGGAGCAATTTCACAGACAAAGAGGAAGAGATTGATTGTCTCACCTGAAAGTAGGTATATTTGTAGATTGAACCTCCAGTGGAGACAGGAACCACTCCTAATGTAGCAACATCCACATACTGGTTGGGGAAGAGGAAGAGATCCACACAGCAGCCCTGGGCTACACACTCTTTGGCAAGGGTGTTGTAGAAGCTCACCTGGGGCTGAAACAGAGACTGAGGATGACAGGAGGGGGCCGTCAGTCTGGATTGTCTTTGCTAATATAAGGACTTCTTTCCACAAGTAAATCAGGGGCACATGTTAAGGCACCACACACAGCTCATACTTAAAATCATGGGTGTAAAATAAAGCACAACTTACTACACTCGTGTTTACCTTCTCCTTATCTGTCCCAATCAGCTTCTTGTCTTCTCTGTTCTTTAGTTTTCCAGGAGCCTCTGCGATGGGTAAAGACGTGTGAAACACAAACAGCTTCCCTGCACTGTCTGCAGCCTGAGAAAGCGACACAGCAACATACAAATTTTCAGCCATCTCAGGGGCTCTGTGCATGCATCTAGGAGTATTAACATCCATCCGAGTTGTCCCCATGAGTTATTCCTACACATTCTCGAGTTCAGAATGGTAACATTAATAGTTTTGATAGTCAAATTTTAAAGAAAAAGAATGACTTTCAAGACTTGGGAAATCTGTGGAATACCTTGAGTGCTTCTAGTCCTGCCTGGATGACAGGTCCAAAGACAGTCTCTGTCTCCCTGGTGTCTGCAAACATCTCTGGGATCTGGTCCAGCAAACTGAAAAACACAAACAATTTGTTAAACGGATCAATTTGTGTGTCCATACACACTTCTTGTATTTGTGTGTGTCTACTTCATGTCAGTGCCGCACCTCTCGATGACTAGTCGGCTCTCGTTTACATTGACCAAGAAACCGTCGAGCAGGGGTACAAACATGTCCGATACATCCGACACCACCAGCATCTGGGGCTGGGCCAGGCTCGACTTGACATTGTAGAAGTGCAAAACTTTGTTGTAGGTGACAAAACCCACCCGCACAACAGACTCCATTTCTGGGTTCTCCCTGGACACAGAGACGGAGGAGGAAATCGAAGAATTGTCAACAATGGGAAGTGAGCATTTACACTCTCTCCATTACTGCATCCATTTGTTTCTTCTTCTTCCTGCCTCTTACATGTGTATATGTTTGAGTACCTGGGCAGGTAGTCTATGAGGGTCTTGAGTTCTTGGCAGATGATGCCGACCATGCCGCTCTTCACAGCACTGTAGGACACATCGATAAGGAAGATGAAGGCTGGAGGCTGAGGAATCTTGTTGTTCTGGTAGGGACAGGAAAATGAGTATGAAATCACACGTAAATACCAGCAAGAGACAGATTTGAAAGGGAATTCATGGGTTAATGGTCTGCTGCAGGCTGTAATTTTGAATTTGGAAGACCAGTACACTACCAAAGAGAGCTCTGAGAACAAAGATAGTGGTTGGTGAATCTACAAGTCCAATTAACTAAAGGATAATTTCCTGCAGGAAAGAACCCTCTTGATCCGGGCTCTTACCTTACAGTAGTCGAGAGTGGCCAGGAACTCGTAGCTGCCCAGAGAAAGCTCCGGCCTCTCATAACAGTCCACCCTCTTACCAGTGTGGTCCAGATGCTGGAAGTAATGTGGAGGCACTAGAGCATAAAGAGCAGAAAGGACAGAGGGAAAACACAATTACACTGACCTCAATTTAGAACAAACTTTCAGGTCTACATTTTTTTCCACTGCAAGCCTTAATACACGAACAGAGGCACAGACTCACCCTCTGTGATGCAGCTGCAAAACGCACACTGGAAGCGTCGACCTCCCTCTATGAACTGCATGTACGGACACATGTAGGCCTTGCAGCGGTTGCAGCGGATTGGACCACTCTCTCCATGGTCCACCAGGTATGGGGGGGTCTGACAAGGAAATTAATTAATTTTTTTTTTTTTAATCAAATAATCTGAATATCTGAGGCTGACAGATTTCATACAGTTTAGCAATCACACTGACTTTATATAAAAGCTTGTAATGAAATACAGAAACAGAAATGTGTATCAGTTACATTTTACACCCTAATTTCCCTGCAGTTATTTATCCTGCAAAAACAACCCATTAAACTAGTCCAGTCCAAATGGTTACACATGCTACAAAAGAAACAAGGTCATGCAGCCATTCTCTCCTCTGTGATGCCCCTCTGACATTATAGGCATCCTGTGATAGTAACTACATATTAAGGCAAGACAAGCTTATTTATATAACACAATTTCATACACAAAAGCAATTCAAAGTGCCTAACACAATGCACACAGATAGACAAGACATTGAAACGCATACATATAAAGTATTAAAATGCATAACATATGTATAAAACAAAATGCAAATTAGATTAAAACATTAAATGCACATTAAAAGCAATAATTACATGACAGCACAAAGTAGCAACATACAAGTGTAGATCCATGGTACTTTTAGGATAGCTGTGGCAGATAAGTGGATGCTCAGTGTTCTCATTATCTCCCTACTATCAGGCATAGCCCTGAAAACTAATCCTTTTTCAAATCAGGTTAAAAACTGTCCAGTGGTTACAAAAAATCTGAACAAGCTACAGATGAGCTGTGGAAAATACAGATGAATAGCGTGAAATGTGGAGGGGCTTATTGATGTGTTAGATTAATTTTGTTGCAAGTGAAATTCTTATGAAGATAGCAGCCTAAATGATATCATACAGAGCTCATCTGACTCCCAAATTATTCCTTTTGTCAACGTGTTATGTATTTTGCATCTTGAATGGCTTCAAATAATTTATTTCCTGATAGCTTCCCAATGAACAGTTTATCCCTACAGAGAGGTCCATCTGCACAGAGCTTACAACAGTACAGAAGAAAGTGGCATCACTCACCTCATCTGGTGGCAGTGTGGCGAGGGGCTTGAGGACAGCAGCCAGTGGCACAGGACACTGCTTGTGGCCATATCGGCTGTGCAAGGCATATTGTAGGCTGTACAGCGAATAAACCTAGGACTGGCATTCCCTAAACACAGACACAATTCTTCCATTAATATCTCTGCACAGCCCAGTTTCCTTTCTTAGGAGGAAAGCTCTTCACTTTCTCTGATTTGTGTTACTACTAACTAATCAGACAGGAAAGGACATTAAGAATAATTCTGTGAGAGGCTGTCTGATAACACTTTGTTCACAGGAAGTAGAACCTACCTTGGTCTTTGACCTGGAAGTTGGTGGTGACCAGAGGTGGGACTTGACCCCTGACCCCTGTGGTGAATGGCTCTGTGGTCTTTGCCTTATCGTCCTCTATTACCTGGATCTAAAAAGTAAAGGAGGAGACAAAAATATCCCTAATTCATAAGTCTTTACAACATAAATATACACATTTAAGTGCACGTCATATTGGCCCTGAGTCCCACAGACTCTAAGAAGAACATTTAAAACTCATGCACACACTGAATACAAATCTGTCAACATCTGTGGACATTAATTAAGTCAAGAGACAACTAAAGTGACATGATACAGATTCATGCTGAATCTGTGTAATTTCACAAATGTTACAAACAAATCAAACTGTGGGTATGCCAATATGTTGCAGGCTAGCATGCAGTGCACAGAAAAGGATTAAAAGGTGGTAGCTGTCTAAGCTTTGTGATGAATGACAAACTCTGCAAACTACAGTGCTCTCAGTTTGTTAAAACTAAGATGGGATTCCTTTAAAATCCTGATCAAACACACAGAAACATTGAGGTTGGACTGAGGTTGCAGAGAAAGCCAACACAGGATTGTGGGATCCAGTGTATAAAATGGTAGGTGAATGGATTACATGCAGATGTATCTTTGGGCGATTTCCTTAACATTAGTCATATTCTGAGAAAGGCCACAAAATAAATCCTCATCACAGTATCTAAGACACAAATTAGTGTCAAGTAGCCCAGCAGTTTCCCCATTTCCAGTCTCTTATGCTAAACCAAACTAAGTTAGCAGGGTGCTGGAAGTAACCTATTTAGTGTATAGAGATAAAAGTGGCATCAATTTTCTCATCTAACTTTTGACAAGAAAGCAAATAAGCATATTTCTCAAAATGTCAAAATTGCATTTGGTTTGGACTGAAAATTTTATTTATACATTACTCCTTGAATATACAGACGGGTGACAAACAAAAGGAAAAACTGAAAAGGATGACAACGGCCCCATCCATAGGGAACGGGGAGTCACCGAACGGGCTGAGGGAGTATGAAAATGATGCAAGTCGTGTGCTATGGCCTTCACAGTCACCAGGTCTCAACCCAGTTGAACAGCTATGGGAGATTTTGGAGCGACACATTAGACAGTGTCTCCACCATCATCAGAACACCAAATGAGGGAATAAGCTTTTTAATAAGAATGGTGGTCATCCCTCAGATAGTGTTCACAGACTTGGAGAATCAATGCCAGGGTGCCCTGAAACTATTTTGGTGGCCCAGCACCTTACCGAGACACATTATGCTGGGTTTTCCTCTCATTTGTCACCTGTCTGTGTATGATACCAAAACATATCTGTAATATACAATGTTAGGGTAGACATCCAGTCCCATGGCACAGGAGAAATTTTAGTACAACTCAATATAAATTAACACAGATGACCTATTAAGATAATATACAACATAATCCTGGATTGTTCTTATTTCCAACAGGAGCCCATCAGACTTTGAGGGGTTAAATAAGGAGGACAGGAGGTAGAGGTAAGCAAGCACAGAGGACAGGGTGAAGCCGAGGAAAAGGCAGGCACACCGGAAACTTACTGGGCTTGGGATAGCGTCTGGATCTATTCTATGTCTTGATTTCTGCACAGCTGGCATGCCAGACGCTTGCTTTACATTCAAATGTTTGTCCAGCAAATTGTGTAAAATGACAAAATAAATACAAAAGGAAACAGAAGAGAAGGAGTGTGAGAAGAGAAAACTCGGCAAGACTGTGTGAGCAGCAGGCAGATTTGCCGTTATTCAGATAGAAACTGATCAGTAGATTTATAGTGTTATTGTAGACTTTATGATTAGTCAAGTGCAAGAACATAAAACTAATATACCAGTAGCTTGTTTGACACATGCTAAGCACTGATATACTGTATGTAAAAGACAGAAGGTCACAAACAACACAAAATCATTAGTGTTAGATTGCTGCAGTGCTAGTGCTGGATATTAAGAGCATCACAGGGACATTTTTAAAATCAACATATAGTGTTATCTCCAGTGGTGAAAGTGATGTCTCTGGTTGAGTAAACACATTCAGGTTTATTAGAAGGAAAAGTATTTAGATCACAGTTGCCTGTTTTTCAAGAGAGATCTGGCTGAGAAAGAGGCACACAAACAGCACTATGACAACAAATACAAAAATATGCACTTTGAGGTTATAAACAACTGTCCCACATCACACAAGTAAGCAATTATTCAGCTACAGGCAAATAATTATGGCCTGACCTCCATTATAAAGTCATTTGCAATACTGAACTACGACTATGGTTATTATACAGAAATGAGACAATATTTAGTCAAAAAAATACTATGGTAAATGCTTGGTTTCAGAAACTTGGATGATATTACTTGTTATCATGATGCTAAACTATGAAACTATCAATAGAAATACAGTTCTGCAAGAATGATATATGAACAATGCCCTACGTGCACAAAACACCACTACAATGAGTGTGTGTTATTTTGCTTACCGGGCTAGGAATGGCATCTGGATCAAGTCTTTTCTGAGCAGGGGGAGCAGGAGCTGGTGCTGGTGCAGGGGCTCCATAGTTTGGTTGCCCAGGATAAGGGCCTGCATAGCCAGGCTGAGGGCCTCTTGTCTGCCCAAACGCACCTGAAGAGAAAAAGAAAACAGCTGAGTGATGAGGAAAACAAACTGTAATCTATTCAGCTTCCACCAAGTGGCCACCTCCTCACCATTTTGCTGAGGGGGATATCCTCCTTGCATTCCAGGGTGAGATGGAGGCTGCTGCAGGGGCCCAGGAGGCCCAGGTGGGCCCTGTGGTCCTGGAGGCAGGTGGTTGCTTTGGGCCATGGAAGTGGGAGGCATCTGAGCTCTGGGAGGAGGGGGACCTGAGTGATAGGGGGATGGCTGGGATAGAGGGGGCTGCTGCTGGGGTGGCATGGGGCCTGAAAAATGGCCAGAGGGAGCTGAGGTTGGAGGAGGACCAAGAGGAGGAAAAGGCCCAGGCTGAGAAGAAGGAGGGGGTGCTGTAGGTGGGAAGGAGCCCTGGGCAGGTGGAGGGGGGCCAGAGATGAAGGAAGGCTGGCTGACAGGTGAGGGTGCTGAAGAAAATGGAGGCTGAGTTGGAAGGAAGGCTTGCTGTGGCTGGGACGCTGGGGGAGCAGGAGCTTGGCTGGGTGGAGGCATAAGACCTGAATAGGAGGAGGGAGGTAACGTTTGCTGAGGAGGAGGTGGCGGTGCAGAGGAGGTGAACTGCTGTTGAGAGGTAGGGGGAAGTGAAGAGTTGAATGGCTGTTGAGAAGAAGGTGGTGGGCCTCCATAGTACTGCTGAGAAGCTGCAGGGCCCGTAGGAGGTGGTAGCTGGGTGGAAGCAGAGGACGCTGGGGGAGGGGCTTGGGTTTGGGAGGATAGGGGTGTAGCCGAGTAGGCAGTAGTGACAGGAGGCTGGGAGCTGTGAGGTGGAACTGAGGAGAGAGAGACGCACAGTGAGAATGTCTCTATCATACACATCCACGCTACATACTAGTCACCATTATTCTAGTAATTTACATTATACTCAAGTATAAATCCGTCCACATTTACCATATCCTGGCCCTGCAGGGGTCGGTGGTCCAGAGGCGATCTGCATCCCAGTCATCTGGTTGGTGACCTGCTGCATTGTGGGTGGGGGCCCATAGTGCTGCGGATAGGAGAAGCGCTGCCCTGACAGGTTCATAGCTCCCTGGTTGTATGGCTGAGACACAGCAGACCTGGAAGCACACAAATCATTCAGTGTACATGCACTCAGATAACCAGGTTATGGTTGGCTTTCTACAGTATGTGGACTTCTTAAACATCATGTAAATGAGAAACCTAGTTTCCATAATCGAGGTAGTGGATTAGGAGAAATCTAGTTATTGACCTTCTGCATGTATACACAGGTTTAAAGCAACCAGATTACCACAGTGCATTTAAATGTGGAGCCTGATTTCTGCAAGTAACCTGGTTACTTAAGTACATATACAGTGCCTTGCGAAAGTATTCGGCCCCCTTGAACTTTGCGACATTTCAGGCTTCAAACATAAAGATATAAAACTGTAATTTTTTGTGAAGAATCAACAACAAGTGGGACACAATCATGAAGTGGAACGAAATTTATTGGATATTTCAAACTTTTTTAACAAATAAAAAACTGAATAATTGGGCGTGCAAAATTATTCAGCCCCTTTACTTTCAGTGCAGCAAACTCTCTCCAGAAGTTCAGTGAGGATCTCTGAATGATCCAATGTTGACCTAAATGACTAATGATGATAAATAGAATCCACCTGTGTGTAATCAAGTCTCCGTATAAATGCACCTGCACTGTGATAGTCTCAGAGGTCTGTTTAAAGCGCAGAGAGCATCATGAAGAACAAGGAACACACCAGGCAGGTCCGAGATACTGTTGTGGAGAAGTTTAAAGCCGGATTTGGATACAAAAAGATTTCCCAAGCTTTAAACATCCCAAGGAGCACTGTGCAAGCGATAATATTGAAATGGAAGGAGTATCAGACCACTGCAAATCTACCAAGACCTGGCCGTCCCTCTAAACTTTCAGCTCATACAAGGAGAAGACTGATCAGAGATGCAGCCAAGCGGCCCATGATCACTCTGGATGAACTGCAGAGATCTACAGCTGAGGTGGGAGACTCTGTCCATAGGACAACAATCAGTCGTATACTGCACAAATCTGGCCTTTATGGAAGAGTGGCAAGAAGAAAGCCATTTCTTAAAGATATCCATAAAAAGTGTCGTTTAAAGTTTGCCACAAGCCACCTGGGAGACGCACCAAACATGTGGAAGAAGGTGCTCTGGTCAGATGAAACCAAAATCGAACTTTTTGGCAACAATGCAAAACGTTATGTTTGGCGTAAAAGCAACACAGCTCATCACCCTGAACACACCATCCCCATTGTCAAACATGGTGGTGGCAGCATCGTGGTTTGGGCCTGCTTTTCTTCAGCAGGGACAGGGAAGATGGTTAAAATTGATGGGAAGATGGATGGAGCCAAATACAGGACCATTCTGGAAGGAAACCTGATGGAGTCTGCAAAAGACCTGAGACTGGGACGGAGATTTGTCTTCCAACAAGACAATGATCCAAAACATAAAGCAAAATCTACAATGGAATGGTTCACAAATAAACATATCCAGGTGTTAGAATGGCCAAGTCAAAGTCCAGACCTGAATCCAATCGAGAATCTTTGGAAAGAACTGAAAACTGCTGTTCACAAACGCTCTCCATCCAATCTCACTGAGCTCGAGCTGTTTTGCACGGAGGAATGGGCAAAAATTTCAGTCTCTTGATGTGCAAAACTGATAGAGACATACCCCAAGCGACTTACAGCTGTAATCGCAGCAAAAGGTGGCGCTACAAAGTATTAACTTAAGGGGGCTGAATAATTTTGCACGCCCAGTTTTTCAGTTTTTTATTTGTTAAAAACGTTTGAAATATCCAATAAATTTCGTTCCACTTCATGATTGTGTCCCACTTGTTGTTGATTCTTCACAAAAAATTACAGTTTTATATCTTTATGTTTGAAGCCTGAAATGTGGCAAAAGGTCGCAAAGTTCAAGGGGGCCGAATACTTTCGCAAGGCACTGTAAACATGCTGATAGACACAACATATGGAACAGAACTAAAACTGAACTTAAGCCTGCTATTTAACACAGTAGTTCAAACACAAACAATGCATTCCCACTTTCACACCTAACTATCCATGAGTCTTTTGGAAGGATAAATAAACATAATGAACCTGGGTGGTGCTTGGGTCGCTGATGGGGGTCCATTCTGTATGTCCCCTTGGCTCTGACTGTACTGATTATATTGCTGTGGTGCTGAAGCTGGAGGGGGTCCAGAGGTGGGAGGACCCCTGGTAGGACCTAAAATGCAAAGAGAACAGATTACCCCCAGACTTGAAAAAGTCAGTACCTGCTACTGATAATCTTGGCTCTATTCTGATATCATTCTTTCTACGGATATGAGATTAGCACAGCAAGCTAAACACAGCTATAGGCCACTGTGGTGCCAAAACACATTTTTAGTACTATCTGATTACAGTCCCACAGTGTACATCTAGGGACAGGAATACAGACTACATACTGAAACCGGGCTTGCAAAGACTGTGTGCTAACAGGAATAGTCAATGTTCTGTTCAAAGCTGAAGGAAAAAAAAAAAACAACACACATCAGACAATGTTAGGATGTTGCTGGTAAATCTAGCCAAGCATCTGTCAAGCTGTTTCTACAATATTAAAAAAGCTGTCAGGAGAACTTTCTCTATCTTCACTGACATTAAAATAACACAGTGTGCATGAAAAAATTTAATCAGAACAAACTGAAAAGAAGTATGACCTGCAGATGCACAAACTGAGTTTGTAACATCTCGTTCACATAATAAAAGCACAGCTGTGATTAATACAAAACTTCAGGAACAAAAAGACTAGTACAGTAACTAAATGGCAGTGCTTGATATAGGGGATGATTGTCACATAGACTCCAATGATCCTGTTTTATAGTACAGTGAGAAAAGGACATTGCAGCAAGAACAATGCCTGTAGTTACAGAGAGGATTAGATGATTGCAAAGCACATGGAGTGTGAAGTGAGCAAGAAGAGAGGAGGGAGTTACCTAAGTCAAGAGGAGAGGAGAGGTCAGAGACTGGGTGGGCTGTCACAGCCTTATAGGGAAAGGTTGTGAAAGGAGTATAACCTGAAATATAAGAGGGCAAAGAGAGCAAATACAGAGAGATGCGTGGTAAAGCAATGCTAAGAAATGAGAGGGCTGAGATTTAGATTAGTTTGCACAAGCGCATAGGTTTTTTTCCCCATGGCAGGAAGCAGGTAAGAGACACCATGGCTATGGCTCTGTAAATGTTTCTCTCTCTCTTGTACCCACACTTGCTCAGAAGCTGGACCTTACCTTGTGGTGGAGCCCCGGTCTGGTACGCTGAACCAGGACCATTGTAGGGAGCAAGGTATCCCCCATCCAGTGGAGCATAGCCGTGCTGGCCATAACCAGGTTGGGGCTGGCCGTACGGAGAGGCCATTCGAGTGTGCTGGTTTACATTCATCCTCAGTTCATCCCTAAATCTGGATAATTGTGACACAGCAATTCATCAGCAGTTAGGATTAAACCTGACTAGTCTGTTTCCAGACCGCAAACCTGAAAAGTATAAATGCCTGTGAGACAGGGTACAAATATTAATAATGCTAAAAACCGCTGTGATAGTTTTGAGTTCCTCTGAGGGTGAGAAGAATCAGCCCACAAAGTATTACTCACTCCATGAGGACAACAGACATAACCTCAAAAAACACAAACAACTGATCTTATAAAGACAAAGTGTTTCCCCAAATTAATGTCCCTCGACCTACAGGACAGTCTTTTCTTTAGTCAAATAACAGATATGGAAAACTGAAGGCAGTCCCAAGAAGACATACTTAACCCCAACTGAGCAGAATTTGTCAGAACCACACACCTGAATGAACAATCAATCAAGAAAATTAATGCAAATGCTCTCTCTGCATAGCTCTTAGTGTTATCTTTAGACACAAATCATACTTACCAGTTGTCACTGCTTCAGTGACAACACCTTTATTGGCTTATTATGTTTGCCTTGGTCACACCCTCAGATTGAATCTTATTCATTAACTACTGAGTTTAAACACACTGAACAATATATTCTCTACAATTTAAAAACTGCTTACAAAGACAGTTCCCATGCTGAAACTTACACAAGCCTAAACCAAACAATTACAATTGTCTGGAGTTACACAGACAAACCACAGGACTTGTAAGTAATTCTTTGTCAGGTATGAGTGCCCGTGAGTTAAATGCCCGTGAAGACAGTAAAGTTTACTGGTCCTAACAGTCGAGTTGTGACAAAACCCCAAAAGGTAACTCGGTGGGGTGATCGACTTTAGGGGAATGGTTACTCCTGCATATCACATGTCGACTTCTACCTTGCTAACAGGTGTGCACGAGTGGCGTTGTTTATTCAGACTGGTCGAACCTATATGACAGAACGATGAGTATCATCTAACAAACACGGGCTAAACGAGCGGGGCCTTTCAATAATTCAACACTGCCAGTGCCACAACGAGAAATACAATCGCTGGGACCGTGCAGCTGTTTAGTATGTCGGGCCTACCGAGTGACCCACATCTGCTTCCCTGGCTCGGTCGCACAATTAAGGAACAGGGTTAGCGGTTTCAGTCAAACACTAAACAACCTAGACAACTAACCTAACGTTAGATAACTACTACGCAATCGTTGAAAATAAGAGACGTATAAAAGAAGAATCAAGTGTGATAACAGGAAGGCTGGGGAGCGTAACAGTGTGCTAAAGAGAACTACCTCCGTGCCGCATTGTAGTTAGCTCTTTAGCTAGCTACTTAACGTTAACAACACAACATGTCAACCAATACCTCAACCCAGAACCCGGTTAACACAGTTAGCTAACAGTTATGAGTCTAACCAGCTGGACGAAGCAACACAACTATGACTTATCCAACTTCCAAGTCATGGCGGATAGCATGCTAGCATTAGCAGGCAGACAGGTTAAATCATGACAGCAGCAGCGGTTGAGTCAGCTGTGATAAATCGCCACAGCCGGACCTAGATAACGTTAGCCTGCTAGCTAAGCTAGGTAGCTACGGCCAGCTATTTCGCAAAGCGATATTAGCTGTGCCCTAGGATTAGCTAGCATTAGCTAACACGGCAAAATCCAAGCTCCCCTGTCAAGCCGGGCAGGAATGTCACACATTAACTGGTATCAAATCGAATCCTACCTCCAAAGTGTTGGAAAGAGTAAAGCTATCCTCCGCTTGCGGCAAACAGTGAAACCCGGTGGCCGACAACACTATGATGGCGATGTCGTCCCGGGGTGTTTTTCACAAATCCCTCTTCGGTTACGATTTCAGAAGCGGACATTCAACGGAACTACCGCAGCGCTGTGCCACGTCCACATCCGGACAGAGCAGAACGACTTCCTCCACATTCGTCCTCTAGGAGAGCATAGCCATGCATGTATTGAGAGAACTCTCATAATAGATCCATAAGCGCAACTATTATTTCAAGCTTTTTTTTCTTTAGCTATTGAGAAGGGAATTCTGTAACTAGGTCAGTCCACATGAAACACTTCTGGATTTTACAGTGGAAATTGATACCTGATGAATGTTCAGTGCACAAACTCAGTATTTAATTAAATGAAACACCTGAATAAATAAGTGGTGTGTTGAAATGAATATTTCATAAAGATTAATATTATATTAATATCTAAATTTGTACCTTTACCAGTAGTTGTTTTGAGGAAAAATAGCTGTGGTCTGAGTAATGAGGGCCCTGTGCCTCAGTAGAGCTTTGTCTAGCAACGCCCCTGGGTCCTGGTGGTTATTTTAAGCATCCTCTATATACAGAGTGACATGATAAGTGTTGAATAGAAGTGAGGTGAACACACACACATTTTTTCCTCTCACCCCCCTGAGCACCCACCCTTCAACCCAGCACTCCTATGTTAGCGGATGAAAGCCAGTCACCCCCCTTATGGGTGGAGTGATTTGCCAAAGAGGAGAGGAGTGGGAGACAGAAGCCTCACACTGACTGATAGTCACAAAGTGCGAGGAACTAAAGAAGAGGCCATCAAACACACAACAAGCTGTGAACTGTGATGGTAGCAGAGGAGATTGCGGTCTCTCTTTCAGGAGGAGCCCCGTGGGGCTTCAGGCTGCAGGGAGGAGCAGAGGAGCACAAACCGCTACAGGTGGCCAAGGTATAATGGGGCTTATGTGTGTGTGTCTGTGTATGTTTGCATGTTGCTGACTTCCTGCCAAGGTGGTAACATGAGTAGGTGGGTTTAATACGGACTGCAGCTGTTAATGAAGCATGGGGTTTTGACCACCAGTTTGTGGTTTACTTTATAGTCAGAATAAAATCTGAAAAATGAATCAGTAGCCTATTGCATTGGTAGTGTTAAGCGCTTGGACCTCTGGTACTTGGAGGTATGTAGGGGTGTAAAGTAACTAAATATACTCTTGTCAGTGTAACTGTTTTTCACAGATACCTTTAACAAGTACATTGTAAAATCAGTAATTCTACTTTTATTTGTAGTTTGTCTACTAGTTTTAGAAATGCAAACATGACCTTTCTTTGGGGAACTTTGTTAAATTGGAGAAGGATTCATGTGGTGGGCAAAGCCATATTGAGATTTTTATAATTAGGATATAAATCAGGATGTCTTTCACATTAAACCTTTGTATCTAAATAATTGTTACTCATGAAAGTGCTATGCGTTTATTGTCACTTGAGTACTTTTGACCACAAGTAATCTTCCTCCCCCTTCATGCAAATGTACTTCTAGGATATATATGGAAAACAATTTTCTTATATTTAACTGGCCCCATCCCAAATCAGTGGATCAGAAAACATTGTGAACACATTTGGGGGTTGATCTTGACTAGCTGGTTTTGACACTGTATTCTGTGATTATCCCGAAGGAGAGAACATTTTTTAGTTTATCTAAATAGGCTGGTGTACAGCACACATGTGGGCATGAGAATCTACACTCAGATTGTGTTTGTATGTGTTTAAAGTTGTGCACATTAATGTGCCTACTGAACATAAGACATTGATTGATTAAGAAAAAAGTAAGACATGATTTCTCCAAGGTTTGCCTAACAATCCTTGACTTTCACAGGCCAACGTAGAGAGTATGGATGAGTACAATTTTCAGCCAGTCATTCAAAAAAAAAAACAAAAAAAAAAACAGGGCATGTCATTTGAAAGCACAAGCAGATGACTTGTTTCAGACATCATTACATATTTATTAGGCACAATTTGGTTCCTCCAAAGTCTTTGGGTGTCTGAGTTTATAGCCTACTTGTTGACAGACCAGAATGTTCTCTCTAATAAGAAAAGCTATTCTGGAGAAGAGGAATGTGAACTCTCTGACGCCGATGTTAAAAATTGTCCAGTTACTCATAAACTGTTATAACCTCTGATTCAAAATGGAGGCATGGTAGCTCTGCCACAAAAGACATCTCTTTATCCAGGCTTTAAGGAGATAAGGTCACCTTTAATGCATGTTTGATCAGTGTGTGCTTCCTCTTGTTGGTGTGTATGCATGTGAGTAACATGCTTTGTGTGTGTGTGTTGTTAAGTGTTTGTCAGTGGTGGGACATACTTCAGATAAGCCCAGTTGGGAGTGGAGCACAAACTAGAGGATGAGAATAGATTATTCAAGAGGAGCTGGAAGCTGAGCATGGAAAAGGCCTCTTGCTCACAAGCAAAGATACAGATATGTACATACACACATTTCTGTCTCATAAAATGTTTAATTCTTGTAGTACATTGTAGTTATTTTTCAGTATTCACATCACACTGGCTCCTGCCATCTGTCTGGGAATTTGATTAATTTTCCTGCAGTGTTTTATTTTGGGTAGGGGCATATGGTGAATACTTGGCATTCCACCAGATGCAGCTGTTCAAACCCCTTCTTTCATGATGCTTGTACTGTATATGTCTGTGTGTGTACATTTACCTGTGTGAGTTTGTACACTTGTCTCTTGCGTGTATTTGTGTGACGGTGGAGTGAGATTTTGAGTCAAGGGGTGGAGATAAAGATAAACACTGTGTCCACTTAAGAGCTCGAGTAGGTGTGGGAATACACTCAACATTTTTGCTTCCAGCAGTGAAAGGAATACTTGTCTGTCCATCTATCCTGTCTATCACTCAACCCCCTACAGACCTACTTCCTGAAGGGATCGTATGACATCATTTCTTAGCGACCTCCAGAAACAGCTGCATGACTCCACAAGTTATTTTGATACAGGGACATTGATATCTACCAGAAGACAAGAGCTGTTCACCAGTTGTCCTACAAGTTTTGACCATTTCACCAAAATGCTGTAATTGCATAATATACGTCCTGTTTGATTTTTATAGGAGGTACACTGATGTAACAATTTGGATGACCGCCTATAATATGGCCACTACCTGCTGTAGAGTACAGGTTTTTCTGTATAAAATCAAATATTCAGGTAAAAAAATCACTGACTTTATCACTTAAAGTTTCAGTTAACATCAGGACTGCAAAGATGTGGTTTCACCAGATTTGACCAACAGTGGTCTGGAAAACAAGCCCACTAGTGATGTGGATGTTATCACTAGGAGGCGCCAAAGTCAGAAAATCCATACTGTTAACGCTGCTGTTATTGATGATAGCAGGAGTTTCAGAGTGTATATACATACTGAGAAGTGTTGGGGTAGTTAGTAAATAACACAGATACCACAAAATATTCTAAGAGTGGTTTGGGACACTCCAAGGATTAGCAAAATAAAACTGAGGGACTGCAGAAAATAATTTTTTTTGCATATTCCTTACATGTTAGCTTATAGGTCTTGTGAATTACTGGATGTTTTCTCCTGTGGAATCTCTCTTCAGTTATATACGTATGCAAGATGGATTACTAAACTGGCCTATGGGGCACAGGCCCAGGATCTGTAATCTGTCCATGGACATATTCATCTCATGACAATTTGCTCCATGTGTTTTTAGTTTTGTAGTTTAGTTTTAAGGGGCTGCTAGGCTGAAAACCAATAACCAATTGAAGATAATGGTTAAATAGAAGTAGACACGATATTGTCAAATAAGTATATTTACTGTGATTTTATCACAGCTATGAGTATTATTGTGTCATTAAACTCTCTGCAGGTACGCAGGCGCAGCAAAGCATGCAGAGCTGGGCTTAAGGAACATGATGAACTGGTTGCCATTGGCGACCATATGTGTGCCAAACTCAGTCATGCTCAGGCCATGAACCTCATAGATACACAGAGCACTACACTTAACCTGAGGGTGAAAAGGTCAGAGCCTGGACTCACACACATACAGGACATCACACACTCTATCATACAAACTGATGCAAGGTGTCGATTTTCACAGCTTATAATTTGTATGTTTGCAGAGCCTCTGAATTCCACTCTCCATCTTACACCGGTCACTCTGCATTGCCCTGTGCCTCAATGAGGGTCCTGCCTCCCACCACAGCTCCCTTGTCTTCCCATTATTCCTCCATCCTCTCCCCCACTGGGATACCTAAGGCCATCACTTCCCCTTCAGACAGTGAGGCTTATTATGGAGAGACAGACAGTGACGCAGACACACAGTCACACACGCAACGCCGCCAACGTCGCACACCTCCTCACACACGCTCAGCTGCACGCTATGACGACCAAGAAGATGAGGAGACCTCAGAGATGAGCGGGTAGGCACAGAGACCTGAAGTTCTGCACCACTTTCTGTGCTCACTGCATTCTGCCATAGAAAAACTGTAGTAGTAAAATCTGAGAAGTCTGACATGAATGTTAGCTATAGAGGCGATATCAAAGCCTCATCAGAGTTGGAATTATAAGTGCATCATTGCTAATCAGGCAAGATGCTCAAAGGTGAACATCCAGTACAGCAGATAACAATGTAACTTAGTACTGTTTGTGTTATAATGTCTCACCTGTCTCTAGAGACTAGTAAAGGAAACTTCCAGTGAGTCATAGTGTTGTCCATCAGAGGGACAGGGCTTCTGCTGTCTATGTGGTTGGCGTACCCTGTTCAGGACCAAAGAGATCAGAGAACATTTTTACTGCACTGGCCTTCTATTCTGTAGTAAGAAATACTAATATTTTTTTCAAGGTAGAAGGGATATGGCTTTTATACATGGTCTGTCCTTCTCCAAAATGGAAAAAGCACGTGAAAGATGATGGAGTTTTAGATCAGACTCAAAACCAAGATGTTCGGTGACACTGTATAATGTCAACTAAACCACTATGAGCTCTCACTCTGAAAAACGTTAATATTTTTATTTGAAAGTGGATCTTTGTTGTGTTTTCTCTTTGTTTAAGGTATGAGAGTGCCACAGATGGGGTTTCAATACAGGGGCAGTGGGATGGGTTGTATCTTGCTGGTGTTCCTCGTAAAGAGCTCCTCAACCAGCCTGTCCAGACAGAGCAGACCACTCCAGCACACACCCCACAGACTATGACCCCTCACACACTCACCCCAACCCTGGATCAGGGATTGGTGGAAGCAGAGGGAGAAAGTGACAGCGGCTTCCAAGAGGTGGGAGACGGCATCAGGTTGGCCTGTCCACCCCTAGTGTCTCATGAACGGACAAAAGAGGCTCTGGTGCTAGGACTGGGTAAACAACTGGTGCCCATGGTGGGACTACAGCAGACCCCTGTCAGCGACGAGCTCTCCACCACCTATATGGACAAAGCACGGCAGGCCAGTGAGTAAACATCTGCATTCAAACTACACCATTACAGGTAATAAACAATAATAAAGTTTTTAGAAGACAAACTAGAGATTACAAGGACAAAGAAAAAAAAATACAATTACAGTTCCCAAGATTCCCCTGGCGTCCCCAAACCCATCTGCTGCAGTTTAGTTTAAATCCTCAGATATATCTCCCTCTAGTGACTATTTTCTATCACTGCAGCACCCACTCACATTTCACAGTCTGGCGACGACAGGATGAGATATAACAAATACTTACAGAAATATTCCTCCTCCCCTCTTCTGTCCTCTGAAACAGCAGTTTGTCTCTTCTGTCAGTATTCTGAGCATTTGCCTCATCGGCTATATTTATAGCTATTGAAGCTTCTGATTGACAGACTGCAGGCCACACAGCTGTGAGTGTGTCTGTTCCTGTGAATGTGCATGTATGTGTTTGTTGTTTATGCACAGTAGGCTATATAAATGTCTACTGAAATGATCAGCTGGTTCATTATTATTCAAAAATTTGTTACCCCAAAAACAAAGATTTAAATTATTAATTAATCATATAAGTCATACATCAGGAGAAATGCCAGACGTTTGCTTGTTCCACCTTGTCAGGATGCACTGCTTTTCTTTTTTTTGTGTCATAATAAGTTGAATTTGGGATTTAGACCACTGGATAAATGTTAATAGGCTAAACAATGAATTGATTAATATGAAAACTGTAGACAGATCAACTGAGTGATTCCTGGGGATCAGGACCACACAGGAGCAATATAAGGGGTTTAGAAATGATTACTGGTGTAGGGGAAAGGAAAACCAAAGCCCTGTTACATAAAAATAATAGGTTTTATTTCAAACTTTTATCTAAGATTAGTTTTTTTGTGAAATACTGTATAGCTTCATCTCTTTAGGCCTCACTGTATTAGTAATAGTATACTGTGATGGTGAGATGTTATTAAGGAAAAGTTTTACATTAGATTTTTTAGATTTTTCATGAAGATGAAGGGAGGATTTATGGCAAGATTGTTGTTTAAGACTGCATTTTAACTAAGTGTACCTACTACTGTGGAAACTGAGTTTAAGTCTCTGCAAGAAAGCAAATAAGTGTACAGTATTTCCCTAAATGTTGAGCTATGTTTTATTGACCTTGTCTGGTTAACATATCATCTCATTAAGGCAGTAATGATCATCGCTGATCAAACTGAATAGCTATGCTCTGATTGAATTGCGACTTTATATGAGTGAATGTTGCAGGAATGAAAGATCTGTCTTCCAGTACATGAGGCCTAAGGCCTGAGTCATGTAGACTGGGGCTTTAGTTTAGGACAAAAGATGATTTAGTTGTTCTGGGACCTGCCCTTTCTCACATTACAAACACATGCACAGCTTTGGATATGGGACTGTTAGCTCTGTTGAGTTGTGTGTCTGTCTGCATGTTCAGTAGCTGTTACTATTGGTGTGAAGTGTTAACAGCAGAGAACAACACATCAGTGAAGAGGAATATAAGATATATGAGTTTATGAACTCATGCAGATGCACATACACACACAACCCTGCTGTCTAAATATAAGGGGTCTTCCTGTCCTTGTGTGTGTGTGTGTGTGTGTGTATGAGACAGAGAATGAACAGCTGCCTGTCAGATGCCTGTCAGACAGACGGGAATAGTGAGCTGACATCATGTGTTGGTTTGGGTCGCTGGACAGAGACAAAGGTCTTTACATGGGCTGTACCATGACAGATGAGCTGGAATACAGAGACTCAACCATTCACTAGTCAGAGCAGATCTGGGCACACTGAGGTTGTGTGGGAGGGTCTGAGGGAGGTTAAGGACACACGCGCACTCACACTTTTGAGATGAGGGACCTAACATCTTCAGGGTCAGACGTAGGTGGACACACAGTACCACACACTGCGTATGCAGGTAAGACACCTTAAAATCTTTTATGGTGATTTATTTACACAAATTTACTCACATACTCAGCTATTTTCCTAACTATTAATGTCAGTAATATTTATCATTGTTGTACTCATCGGACATGACTGATGATCTTGATGTTGATTTTTAGACCTGAGGATAAGTTCATGAATCACTCTGCTTGTGACTGTGCATCATTTAGCAGTTTTAAGCTGTAAAGATGAATTAAACATGCTGATGGGTCTATACCTCAGTGCTTTATCAAGCTGACAAAGCCATGTTACTTACCATGGGTCAGATATAAAAGTTACAAAATACCTAGTTATTTTTAGCCATGCTTCCTATGCTGAGAACGGCATTGTCGGTCTGTTGACATACCATTTTAACCCAAACTGAAAAATCTCAAGAAAAGATGGGTGAATTAAATTTTGTACAGACACTCACTGTCCATAGAGGATGAACCCTACTGACTTTGGTGGTTCACAATCCTTTGATGACTCTTAGCACCAGACTTATCCTCTAAAATGTCAACATCTACCAGAGATAAAGACTCATATTGATACTGTGGATTGTGCACAGTATGTGTTTGCTATGCCTTGTTAACCGTGATGCTATTAAAGTTATATAGAATGTGACCAATGTCAGCACACTGACAGCATCAGAGGATATTCCTGTGAGCTGAGGTATATATGTGCACATGCTGGTGTGCACAGGTGCTCACACACGTAGGCACAAACAAGCATCAGTGCAAGAGAGACACTCTGATGTAACCTTCCCAAAGTGCCTGTGACTTAACTCTGCAGAGCAGTAGGAATTTTTCTGCTCTAAATCCACAACACACACTCCTGTCTGTCACTGGTAATCCTCATTCAGCTCCTCACTGTGATAGTACTGTATAAATCAGCCACTGCTCACAGTCAGTGAGTGATGTCACACTGTTTTGTTTCCATTATTTATTGCCTGTGCTTTGTTAAGTATTAATCAGAAATCCCATTACCGGTCCTCTCCTTTGTTTCCTTTCTCTTTCTGCACATTTATTTTGGTCTCTCACTCTTTTCTCTTCCTGTCTTACAGAGTTGCACCGCGGGGAGAGTTTGGTGGAGAAACAGGTGAAAGAAGCACGTACTAAATGTCGTTCTATTGCCTCTTTGCTGACTGATGCTCCCAACCCCAATTCCAAGGGGGTGCTTATGTTTAAGAAACGCCGGCAGAGAGCCAAGAAGTACACACTGACCTGCTTTGGCAAAGCTGAGGAGGACAGAGGAGGGGACACAGAAGGGGAGACAGGAGGGGAGACAGAGGAGGAAGGAGGGTGTTCCATCCTTAGTGGCTCAGAAGTTGAGGAAGAGGGATCTGCAGCATCATTTGACCCTACCTGGGATACCGGTTATCTAGACCTGCTGGACAGAAGAAGCTCTGCCTGCCCTTCAAACACACCAGTTACTCCAGCACCACCAACAACCAATCAGAGCCCAGGGCCGGACATCTCAGCCTATCAGACTCTGGGATTTGTGACTCCTGTCAATCAAAGCCCAGGATTAGAGGTCTCAGGGCTGGAGAGCTCAGCCAATCAGGGTTCAAGACTGGAGAACTGTATCACAAAGCAGCCAATCAGCAACCACTCTGCACAAATGTCTCCTCCAGCTGTGGCTCTGACCAATGGGCGGTCTGTAGCTGTTAGTCGGGCTAGTGTTGTTCTGAGCCTGCCATCTCAGACACCCCTTCCAAGTCAAAATGGGCAACATGGCAACCCTAGCCCTAATCCTAACGCTAATTCTAATTCTAGACAGGTCATAGACTCAAACCATCATTTACAAACCCACTTCAGTCCTAATCCAGGTATTCTGAACCGTACTGCACGCCCCTTCACCCCAGGCACTACCCCTTCTCATGCAACAGTAACCTCTGTGATGTTTCACCCTCCCCAACCCAAATCCACAGCTGTGACCATGGCAACTAAACCAGTGGCTGCTGTCTCTATGGTGACTATCTCACCTACTTGCCATACAACAGGGCCAGATACTAGGAGAGCAGTGTCTAGCACCTCTCTGTACATCCCTCCAAGAAATAACAACAGCAACACTCCCCCCACTATTAACTCTCCCCCCTCAGCCCTCTCACCTCCCTCCTCTTTGTCTTCTGCACCTTTCTCCCAGCCTCCTGCAAATCTGTCCACATCTTCTCCTCAGGCCGCAGTGCATGGTTCCTCTAATCCATTCTCCCCTTCTCCAGCTCAAGGTCCCCCCATCTGTCCAACACCTGCTCAGCCCTTCTCCCCACCAGCTTCCTATCCTTCTGCTCCTATTTATCCACATCCTTCCCCCTATATTTCTGTTCCTCCTATCTCCCCACCACATCCCCCTGATCTAACTCAGGTCCCCTTCCACACTCAGCCCACCTCTCATCCTCCACCTCCCACCCAGCCTTCTCCATCTTCGTCAGTCTACCCCTACATCAACATGACAAATGCAGTGACTCCTAGCATTCATGCTACCATGGCAACTGCATTACCTCCACAGGGGCCTGCCACTGATTCACTTGGGACACGTGAGCAGCGCATCTCAGTCCCCGCCGCTCGCACCGGCATCCTGCTTGATGCCCGTCGTCGTGGCAACAAGAAGCCAATGTTTAGTGCGATTCGGAGCAAGGATGTTTCTCCAAACCCAGACTTGCTTTCAATGGTTCAGAATATGGATGACCACTTTGGGAAAACCCAAGCACCTGAATCTGGAGTTGCACCCACTGGAGATGCCGGGCATGAATCAGGGCCTGAGGAGGACTGGCTGAGGCTAGGAGCAGAGGCCTGCAACTTCATGCAGACTCAGCGGGGACTCAGGCCACCTCCTATAGCTCCCAAACCACAGACCCCTCAGGTGCCACAGCTGGCAGGGAAGGGAGGCCAGCTGTTTGCTCGCAGACAAAACAGGATGGATCGGTACATTGTGGAACGAGCTCCCTCTGTCGCTGCAGCACCTTACTCTCCTGCCCAGACTAGGGAGCCCTCACCCACACCTTCTCTCCCTGCCACCTGGAAGTACTCGCCCAACATTCGTGCTCCTCCTCCCATCAACTACAACCCTCTGCTTTCTCCCTCCTGCCCTCCTAAAGCCCAAAAGAAGCCTGAGGTGACAAAGCCTGGGCCAGCTAGACCTAAAGGGCAAAAAGCAAGCATCAAGCCTGTGGACATTATGAGCCATCAGCCCTACCAGCTGAATTCCTCTCTGTTCAGTTATGGGGGTGGGGTCCCACAGGACACCTCCACCTATCAGCAGCAGCAAGAAATGACAGGTGCTCCACAGAAAACAGCACGAGTATATGAGGTGAAGCGTTTCTCCACACCCCCTCTGACAACCACAGGGCCTGCTCTCAAAGTTATAATGCCTCGATCAGCTACCACACTTGGCGTGCCACTTGGGCACTCTGATGTAACTTCTCCTCCACCCACAATTGGTCCTGCCACCTACCAACCCTATGAGCCTCAAGCTCAACCTTACCACCCTGAGTGGGCCACCTCCCCTCACCCACCACCTCCTACCCCTACCGCCTCATTCCCTCAGCTCCCCACCTTCTCCTCTACCCCAAAGCAACCTCAGTCCCCTATTTTCCTCCAGCTTCAGTCCTCCAACACTCCCCAGTCCAACAGGCAGTTTAAGAGTGCCCCAGATCTAAGTCCCCTGGACTCTGCTGCTACCTCTATACTGGCTTCCAGCAGCACTCATCCTGCCCGGGGCCCCAGACCCAGATTCAGTACTTCCAACCTGGGTTTGCAGCCTTGTGTCTGGCGCCCAGGATCCTTTATGCACTAAACAGATTTGGTCTGGACATAATAAATCAGGACTCCATGGGAACATAAAGCGTTATTCAAAGCTGTAGTTTGGGGTTTTATCAGTCACGTTTTATCACAAGATCTGTTTGGATTGGCCACACATGTAGCACATTTGATCACTTTCATTTAATTTTCTTGACTCATTTACAGTCTGATTATAGTTAAAGAGAACACTGTGTTTTTCAAAGGAAATATTGTGTGGAAATCTGAGACTAGTTATAAGAACACTATGAAAAGACAAAGGATGCTTGGATAAACTGAAATAAAATTCTGTAAATGCTGCATCGAATGATGAAGAATTAAGTTTGAATACAATAAAGAGGAACAAGAGGATGTGAAAAGACAAGGCTGCTGTGAGAGAGGTAGTCACAAATAGGATAAAGAAAAAGGGAAGGACAAGCGATCATAGAAATAATGTCTGATGACATGTAAAAGATGCAGATTTGAGTTATACTGCAACTTCACAAACTCCCTTAAATACAGCAAGTGTTGCCATCCAACGAAATTATATCAAAAATTGCTTTACTAACAAATTTGAAGTAGCTACTACAACTGTAATTCCTCGCTGTTGTTCTAAGGATTTTTGTTTGATGATTTTGAGTGTTGTTTTGTGGTTGCACTCAGCAGCAGTGTGTACTTTATTTTCTGTAGTTTTATCATAGGGTGAGGAACAGAGCTGTCATGAAGCAGGGACAGTAGGCTTGATTTCTGGTCTGTTGATATGAAACAAGACTGGTTTAATGTCTGTTTAGCCATGATTCTTTCCCATAGAGCCATGTGACTGAATAAAAATAGAAATGACTCATCTCAGCTGTCACTTTGTTTCTTCCTGTATCACCCACGTCTCCTGCTCCAATTAGATTATACTCCTTTCTTTTTTAGATATTTACTGACTAGTCTAGTAGCATAATTGTTCTCATGATTTAGGTAGTTTTGAGATTAAACACACAGTCTTCAACAGGAATATCAAGAAAATGTTTTTTTATTGTTCTCCACATGGAGGCACTGTGGTATTTGTCATCCAGTTCACAAGCTTCTAACTTGTTTCATCCCAGATCATCTTAAATGTCTGTAGCATTTAATGCAACACACCTGCCAAGGGAAAATTAGGCTTTGCATATTATAGCATATCCTTTTACTGTATATGCTAAATTAACTGTAGTCACAGGATATATTTGATCATCCAATGGAATTAGATCAAAATAATTCCAAATACATGCATGGCTTTGGCTAATTCTTGTAATATAGTTTCAATATCTATTGTAGTTGAAAGTGTCCTTGTAGGATTATCAGTTGAATGACTGATGGCCATGGATCTGTGAAACCCAACCATGGTCACAGAAAGGGATCTAACCTATGGACCTTGACTGGGATCAGGTGACAGATGGGGCTAACTTTAGCAGCCAACTTTAGACCTGTTCAGGTTTACTGATAACCTAAGCTGCTGTGCTAGTCGAAGGAACAAATTAGGTCCCTAGTTGTCACTGTACTCATAGCTCTTTTAACTTTCAGCCGTATTACAGTTCATTTTGAAGATCTTCAACAATTTGGTCTGGTGCTAAACTTGATTCTGATGGCTTTTTTTACAGTGTGATTGAGAGGGGACGGTGTGTCATCTTGTACTTCCTGTTTCCTCTCACTGCTCTACCAAAGAGGCTTTTTGTTCAAACTGTGTTTCTGGGTCAACAGAATCAAATATTTGGGGTCAGAGGTCAAGGTTTCGGAGTGGGTCAGATTATGGATAAATAATAGTCATTCTCAGTCTCATATGGATTGATCATTTTAGGGCTGATATTTTGGAAAACAAGATTTTCTTTACTGCATTGTCATTTCTGATTAATTGATCTATTTGGCTGAATAAAGTACTACTCAGTGTAGTCGAGTCTCCAGCACTCAAGTCTGAGTTGAGTCTCGAGTCCCTGATGTTTGAGTATGAGTGAAGTCTCCGTAACCAAAGAATAGTCTGAGTCGAGTCCAATTCGAGTTCCCTTTACCCAAGTCGGAGTCACCAAGGTCTACATTAAACACAACTGGCAGATCTCTCACTATTTTAAAAGGTGTTTACTTACTGTGTGTGACATAATACTCAAACGAACGCACTTTTAAGTATGCCCACACACACACACACACACACACACACACACACACACACACACACACACACACACACACCCTATTTAGAAGGGAATTGTGTGGTTTTATATATTTTCTGAACTATTATGGCCTATTATAAAAATATAAAAGTCTGCGTCTTTGTCTCCAGCTTCCCAGTTTGAATGCATTCAGTGCTTGAGTCTGATCCCAAGTCAACAGTGCTCAAGCTAAGTCAAGGAGTGAGGAGGAACTGAGAGCATGATGATACAGGTTTAACTGCTGCCAGGCACAAATCAGGAAGTTACTAATACTGCCAAAGGTTTGCTAGGTGCAGGATGATGTACAAGGACACTATGAAAGGGGGAGGAAAACACATCAGCAACAGCATTAATGCCTTTAGACAAACTGGGTGACAGACAGAGGCTGCAGCTCCTGCGAAGATAGCGATAAATCTTAAAAATTTCCTAGCAGCCTTGATTTTTTTTTTCTACAAATAAAGCTGATAAATAAACTTCTGAACTCAAAACACTGCACCCACATCCCTCTTTACCACCTACTCTACTCACCCCACCCTACTTTCCCACCCCCCAGGCCTGGACCACAGCATTGGAGCAGCCCTGCTGATAAGGTTTCACTCTTTCTGGGGCAAAGAGGAGGACAGGCAGTACAATACAAAGTGTGGGACACAAACCTACCTGGGGATCTATACTCCTCTTTCTCTGACACATCTCTTCTGGGACCTTTTGTGTCTTCAGGGACCTGCATCTACCTGTGGATATCTGGGTCTTAGGTAGGACATGAGATCCTAAACTATGTAATAGCACAGACAAAACCCAAAGAAATCTCTCTTTGGCGCTTAAGATCACTGAACTTTTAATTAATTCTGGATCCTCTTTAAGTACAAGGAGCCAGTTACAGTTAAATTCATTTGATTTCTGATCTGCAGAAGAAGCCTCTGTATGTGGCCCATGGAACAGACCATTTAATGAATGAGGGAATCAAAAGCAGATGCTCAGCATTTTGGTACAAAATGAAGTGTTTGTCAGTCATAGGTATTGCTTAAGAAAGTCCTTAAACCCACACCACCTCATACATAGTTTTTTACATTGCAGATTGACTTTTTCTTGCGTAAATTAGTAATTTAAATATTAATTAAACCAAGTCTGAATCATGAAAACCAACTAGTGAACAACTTTACTCTTTACTTAACACTGTGGTGGGTGAGTGGAGTTTTTAGTCTAGGTGTATGTGTATATTTGGGAATGTGCTGACTGATGCCCTTCCTCCTCAGCTGTCTCCTAGAGATTTATCTGGAGCTAAAACAGGCTGGTCGTGAGGGACAGGGGCGCTTCTTCTCTGGGTGAAGTGGTAACAAGACCCAGGCGTTTGCACTCAGCTCCTGTAGATGCTATCAGCACAGCAGTTTGTCTCCGTCTTGTATTTCTCTGAACGCCCGAAAACATCTGCAATCCTCAGTTTTTAAGCCACTGACTCATTTTAATCCCAAAAGGAAAACTATCTGAGTGAAAATCTGCGTGTGCAGGTGCATTTGTATGCACTGTATGTCTTGTACTATAGAACACTGGTCCACAAAAATAGATCACACAGGAATGAATCCCTTGCTAGGAAATTAGTCCCATTTACAGCAGATGAAAAGCAATTACATTAACTGTCTCCCTGTAGATGGGTCCTCTAGCTTTTTCTCTTTAACTGAGACTCACCTCCAGCCTTACATAATTGCTTTCACCTTGTGCAGTAGACAGCGACATACTGCCAGCCCCCATCTGAGTGGTTAATCAAGACAGACACAAGCTGCCACTAGGAATTAGCGTCCTGGAGGCCAGGCGGGAGCTGTATACTATGTTAAAAGTGTGCTTAACTTAATTAGGGAGCCCACTGAGGTTCTGCTGGAGCTTGCTAGAATTTGGGACCTCGTGTACAACATCATAATAGCAGTGTATCTAGTAAATCAATTTATATCTTCTAAAATATCAATGAACAGGATTAACATTTTTGTTGTAGAACACTTCATTGGCTGTGAGTGTTGCTAATTGTGTCATTCTCAGTCTTGTGATTTCTACTGAAATCAGTAGTGGACTACTACTGATCCACTACTGATGTATTTTATACAAATCTGCTCATTTTTTTTAACCTGCCTTTATCTCTTTTTGGCCTCTTGGAGGCCGTGCAACAGGCTGTAAACCAACGTTCAAATTAAACAGCAAATTTTGTTGTATGTAACTGGCCTTCAGAACAACATGGTGGAAGCCTTTTCTGACCTGACACACTGTGTTTATCTCCTAATATTGTTGCAAATCACTGGTGAAATATAAATGTGTGTCAGTAAAAGCTGAGGGTTGTAAATCCAAAATGAGTTGAAAGGTGCTAAAATGCCCTGTAGAGCATTGGCACTGCAGATTTAGATAATAACTGAGGATTTGTTGTTATGAGTGACACCTTTCATATTACACTGAGTCATTTGATCTATTGTTAATACCAAAATATTTATTAGTGCAGTTTTCAATTTTAAAATCTCAATAAATAAAACTTTAAACAAAACTTTTCTATTTTTGATAAGAGGGAAAGTTCTTTTTTGACCTTGGTAGTAGCAGCTTGAGAAACTATTCTTAAGTGTCAGGGCCTCTCCTCCGTCTTTCTCTCCTCTGCTCTCTCTATCCTGTGGGCTCTGCACCTCAGCTGTGTTGCATTCCAGTAATTAGCAACTGGTTTGTCGATGCACACAGCTGGGGTGCATCCCGATGATTACCTTCGCCTCCTTATATAAACCTCTGCCAGACGCTCTGTCTTTGCCGGAACATTATCATAGTAACGCGGACTGTACATGTTGGTAGAATGCTACGCTGACAGACACTGTGCGTTTTGGCTTGACTCTACCACACTACGCTAATTCCCACTACACTACATATTTTTGATTCATCTCCGGAGCATTGCTATATGTTATGGACAATACTTACTCTGTTTCCTGCCGTTAGTTTGTGTGTTTACCTGTTCGTCCTGGTCTCCTTATTTATCACTGCCCTTCCCTGGTTGTAAGTATTATGGACCCTGTTATGTTGTCACTTTGTTTGTATTTATTCCAATAAACCATCTTTTTTTTGTACTAGCACCTGGGTCAGCTATCTTGAGTCCAACCCCAGTTCTCCCTCACCTTCCTGGTGAGGGGGACTAACCATAACATTAAGTCAACAATAGAGGCTTTTCAGTTGCAAGCTCCATCTTAATTTTTCTCTCAATGTAAAAAGCTGCATATCTAGTATGAAAGTTAAAATGACTGGTGATGAAGTCCTCATTTCCCTATTCTGTCTTATAGTCATGCCTCTCACAACTCCTGTCCCTTCTAACATGAGTAAGAAGGCCGACAAGATCATCACTGACCTGTCCAACATTAGCCAGAATGGTAAAACTAAACCACACAATCACCACATAAACATGGAACATTTTTCTTGTCATGCCCATCCTTATTCCTCAAAGACCTGTCTTTCTTTTGATTATGATCTAATTATTCTAATTATAGTGCATGTCAAATCCAAATGTAAGTTTTGCTCTCTGGTGTCTGCCATCTGTCTGTGTGCACTGTAAATAAACTGTATGTGTGTAGTGTTGCATGAGGTCTTATGATACTACAGTAGAGTTAAATAAAAACACTCACACTTGTTCCAAACAGTGACACAGTCTCTAACATGCATGTGGAATCTCCTGAGGGATTATCAGATGGCAGAGCAGTTACAAATCTGTCACCATCAGAGGCAAGATGGGGACTGTGGCCCTGCTATGTTTATTTGAGGTTGTGTTTAAGTAGCAACTGAACTAGCATCAGTGCAACTTGTAAAATGTGACATATAGGTCACATTTTGGCATTTAATCTACATCTGATAAGAGGAATTTACAGTATATGGTTAACTGAACATCTTTCAGAGGATTTGTTTTAGTCCACAGATTTTCTATGGCGGATTTTACTAAACACCAAATTCTGCATTTATTTTTTTCTTCAAAAATCACTTCCTGTGTGCCAGACATTTTACTTAATGTAGGAAAAAACTGCAGGTCCCTCTGCCAGACCCACCAGTGGGTCCATCTGTTCTGCTCTTGCTGTGCAGCTGAACATTGTTCAAACTCACAGAATGTTATTTTTAATTCTAGTGGAGATCCCAACGTTTCCAAAAATATCTGACATTTCAAGCTGCATTTTAGGGGAATGTGAATAAAATCTATAAAGCTAGATTAGTTCCATGTAGTGAGATTGTGCAGTCATAAAAAGGATAATCAGGGATGAAAAGTAACTAAGTACATTTACACAACTACTGTACTTAGGCATCATTTTAAGATATTTATACTTCACTTCCCTTTGGATTCTCTGCTTTTCCTCTACATTTCAGAAATAATTTACCCTTTACTCCACATTTTCATATGTAAAACAAACTCTATGATGAGATCACAAAATATAATGAACTGTCATGACTTTTCATAAAGTATCATCATCAGGTCAAAATTTTATTTAGCTTAATTTTTTAGTTTATGGCCATTTATGTGCACAGCTGACTCCTTAGCCTCAGCTCTGCTTTATGCTTAATTAGCAATTGTTTGCAAGCCAACACTTGACTGTTGTATTTTCTATCAAAACTGACAATATAACATGTTATAACAATAATAACAATATATTATTTGCATATTTCAAACATGAACCACTCTGTCTCTGTGCATGCAATCTGAGCATGCTCAGAGTGTCCGTGCACATGCTTTTGTCTGTCAACCATCTGCTGATGCTGATGTCTTTCTACCTTTGTGTCCTTTAGTGTTTTTTTCCTTCATCTGTCCTTCTGCTGTCACATCTGTCTTTCCACCAGTTTGTTTTCAGTCAGTCATTCAGGAGCTTATCCTACTTATCCCTTATTTTGTTCCAGTTAATGCCTACTCGTTTATCCATCATCTCTGCTACCGTGTTGTTCGAACTCTTTCTGATGTTTCCCGTGCATCTGTCCTTCTGTATGTTGTCTGTCTGTCCACCCATTGCCTCTCCCAGTCAGCAGCCTGCTTCAGTTTCACAATATTCTGAATTAACACACTAATCAATATCCTGCTCCACACACACAAGCACAGGTGCACAAGTCTAATTTATGAGGTGCTGCTAACATCTCTCCATAGCACTGCAGTGCCAACTCCCTGCTTTATAGATGTGTTTGAGCGTGTGTGTGTTGGTTTATGGCAGGGTTCCAGGTGTTATGAGTGGATATGAGAAGAGTTTTATTAGGAGCTCTGTGGAGCACTAAAATCCACAAGCTCTCTCCATCACTGAAAGAGAGGAGACAGAGTGAGATAGGAAGTGTGTTATAAGGATTTCCCACCATAAACAGTTCTACTGGAAAACCTGCTCTGACGTTCCCCGGTGCCCTTTTCCTACACAACCTCTTAACACCACCCAGCAAGTTTCAACTGTAAATCACCACAAGGAGGCATAAAGCAGAGGATAAGAATACAGCCATCAGTATCAGATATATGGTGGACAGTAAACCCATTTACTGAAGTCAAATGGGTTTGGTTGAAAACAGACAGGGTAGCTCAGAGAAGGTACCTCTGTCGAGGCCACACAATCTTGTCAATCTGTTATTTTAAAAATAAAAAATATAAAAATTGTAAGTCAGCACAGTGATAGATCAGTATGACAGGTTTATTTTATTTAAAAAGGGCAGTAATTCAGGGGAAAATGTCTTTACTTTTAGCCTTTTGAAAAGAACAATTCAACATTTTCAGAACTACACTTATTTGTCTTCATTCCAAAAGACGTCACATCTGACATCTGTGTAAATCACAGCTTGTCATTTTCATACTTTTTTCAGTTTCCACAGGATGTAGCATCAAACAGGCATACACTGTAGTACTTAGATAGATGGACAGATGTTCTAATTGCAAACAACCTTCTAACACACTTTTCAATAAAAACTCTCTACAGCTTTTTTAAATTAGACTTCAACCTGTTAAACATTGCACTTTTCTCAACATATGTGTAAAACCATGACAAGTTCCCTTCTACCTTTCCTCTTCATAAACCCACCTTAATTTTACCACCCCCCATTTCCCTCCTGTAAGATGAGCCAGACCCTGAGGCCTCTGAATTCGACTTGGGGACCAAGATCAAGACGCCCAAGGATGTAATGCTAGAAGAGCTCTCCCTGCTCAATAACAAGGGCTCCAAGATGTTCAAGATGAGGCAGCAGAGAGTTGACAAGTTCATTGTGACCAATGAGAACATGGTGAGAAAGAAGAAGAGAAAAGGTCTATGTTTGTTGTATGTATGTGTGTGCACTGTTCAGACAATATCTTCTGTCTTTTGGTCTTCCAGCAAAACCTCCAGAATCTGCTGATGTCCCCTCCGCCTGTTCCACCAAAACCCGAGATGCCAAAAGAAGAAGGTAGTGTCACAAATGTGCTTTTTATATTTTCTGTCTTTTTTCAGTATTTAAGATTTTTCCTTTAAGCTTTTGCACTTCATCTTTCTGCTCTTCCCCTCTTTCCTCCCTGTCCTCATGTGTCTCAGTTGTGGAGAAGACTGTGAATGAGGAAAAGGAAAAGGAGAAACAGAGGAAGGAGCATGTGAGCACCTATGTGTCACCATGGGAACGAGCCATGAAGGGCGACGAGGAGCTGACAGCCACCATGAAGGCCTACATGCCAGGACCCATCCAGATCCACCCAGAACTGCCTCCGTACAAGAGCTTTAACAGGTACACACACAAACAACAATGTCTTTGAATGTTTCCTTGAAGACAAATATAATAACACTAATTACTGACCTGAAATGAATTAACTTGTCAAAAGATATTCAATTTACAATTATATAAAAATTTGAAAATCAGCAAAGTTTTGCCATTTTTATTTGATAAATGATTTAAACAGTGAATCATTTATCAAAATTGTTGCCAGTTTTTTTGTTGGCTGTGAAATTCTTGTGAATTATCAAGTGATTGTCTTTTTTCAGCTCCACCGTGCACGTTTGCAGATTTTACAGTTCCTGTCCTAGTTGTACTTCCAATGCAAAAGTGACTTTAGCTAGAAACTCAAATTAAACCAGCCCATGGTTTTAACTGAAATACGTCTGAAGGCCCCTCCGACTTTACAACGTTGACCTTTCTGTAACTTTCTGAAAAGGACAATCTGACAATTACGCCCGCTTTACATAGCAGCTGGTCTGGTGGGTGGAGGTATTCTGGTACTTTTTG